CTGGATGTCTGCCACAACAGCCCGGAAACGCTTCAAAAGGTGAGGATAATGCTCCAGGAGATGGACCCGTTCACGCTAGCGGCCTTCCTCTCCCTCGTACTTGACCTGAAAAGCGTGATCACGGCGCTGGCCCTCGTCTTCAGACACGTGACCGTGGAGGAAGCCTGCCAAGCGAGCGCGCTGGAGGAGGCCCATCAAAAGGCCGCCTGGGGCTCCGTTGACCTCTATCACGAGCTTGAAGAGACGGTTCTGTACACGCAGACGGCAGCGGCGTCGTCGTTTTTGTGGTTGTTGCACGAAGAAGAGGCGGGGGACTCAAAGGAACTGGGAAAGAATGCAGGAGTGATGCCGCATGTGGAGTTGAAGGCTCGGGTCAAGGCGAGACTTAAAAAGGAATTTCCGGACAGCACGCCCGAGTAGGCGTGTCTAGGAAAAGAAAACAAGAGGTCACGTGTGAAATATTTCTCTAAGCTCCTCATCCTTGCGAGGCCCACAGCCTTCTCGCTGGTTTACCGATTCGCTACTTGGTCCTCGAACACGGTACCGCTCGCTTTTGTGGTTAGTGAGACATAAGACTGACCTCGCACGATCGCAACTAGAGGAAATTATACTCCAGAAGGGACACTACGCGTATAATTATTCACTCATATTTTTAACATGCAGCAAAGGTCATTAATTGAAATTGGAACATAGGAATCGCGTGCAATTTATCCTCCATGTAACATACTCAACATGGCATTTAGTTAATCGATTAAGGGAATAAAAGAAGCGTACATTGTATGTGTGATGAAATAAATGTTGCCAAAGCAGGCGCATCGGACAATTAATCGCTCTCAGCCTGTTCATCGATTAATTATAACCATTTCGTGGCGACCTAATACTTAAACTCTGGGAACCCCCCTTCACGGGTCTCACGAGTCCGTCCAACTAGCAACGTCACTGTTTTCTCGCGCGCAGAGAGGCAGACCCTCTTTTCGTGAGCAGGCACATTGCAGAGGCTCGTAACAAAAGCATTACGGCATTACATGCCATCAAACTCCTCCAGATCATGAACATTAAGTTGAATGATAGATACATGTTATTTTCATCTATTAACGAGAATTTTGTGACGTTCGACCGAACACAATACGCGGTACCGCGTTCAAGGATCTCCCCGCTACCACTAAACAAAGATACATACGTTTGAAACAGTTTTTGTGTCGAGCCTTTCACGGCTCTATCTATCCTTCGATCATAGTTATAAAAATGATTTCATTTTATTATGAGATACATGTCTTTTGACGACTGGGCTCATATTCCTGGAAACGTATGGCGGGGAAGTGAGTCGGTTCACCTCCTCATCCTTATGCTCCCTCCTTACATTAAACCCTGCAGTCGAGCATGGCTAAATCTGCTAGGTCTAAGAGCCGCAAGCACTGGGCATCAGAGCGTAGGCGGACGCTGGGTGTACCCGTGGAGACTAAACAACTGATGGAGCAGTCCCAGCGCTTGGCGGCAAACCTATCGAAACAGACATCACAGCCCTCAATTATGAAACTCAAATCTGTTTTCAAGCGCCCTGGGAGTAATTCTTATGCCATGTCCGTGCAGCGACGCTTGGCCATAAGTCGTAAGCGCAAAAGCGGCACCGAAGGTAAGCACAAGGCGTCCGCAGTGGAAAGAGAAAGTGAAGGGGAGATGGAGACTGTTGAGAGCGCGGGCGCCGTGTCTGAGGATCCAGTGGAGGAAGTGGATGGCATGGAGGTGGTACCCGGAAAAAGGCCCACTGGCAAAGCGCGAATCGTTTCACGCTTCAAGAAATCGGGACAGGCGTTCAGTGCTAAGAAGCAAAAACGCGTGAAGTCCTGATACAGGAGATGGAAATGTGTAAAAAAATAAAGGCTTTGCACTGGAGGCTGACCCTTTGCATTTTAAGTGCGTCTGTAACGAAAGGAAAAGCAAAAGATCACTACCTGGGTAGTAGTCAAGAGAAACATTGTCGTTAAAATAATTTCTGTCGCGTGTTAAAGCGTCGGAAAGGATCGTTCAGTTTCTCGTGCTTCTACGCTTTTTCGTACCAATTTCTTCCTCGCGCCTGTTTCTTATCCTTCGCCGCGCGCTCAACGACAAGCCACTACAAGCAAGCTAGCATGACTTGCCGACTTGGGCTCTAAATTCGCTATTACGTCGTACATTACAGACTCTGTTCGAGGCCTGCGCGAGGCGTCGCGCCCCTTCTGCCCCCCACTCCACCCACCGGGTCTCCGGCATTCTTCCCTTTCTTCATACTTTTTGCTCACGGCCCATGGCCGCAATACACGGTGCATCCGGTAGCCTCCATCCGCGCCATCCGCCCTTCCGAGTCCATGGTCCCGTGGGCCGCCTCCCGGGCCACACGGCAGGTACTTTACGGACCCCTACAGCCTCCGCCGGCGCTTCCTCATCCTCCTCACACCTTCATCGCGCCCATCAGCTCCAACCGACCGGCGCCACCTATCTCGCCGTCGGGGATTTCCTCGTCGGCCGCCACCTTACTGTAGGACAGGCCCTCAAAGCCCCTCCGTAGCCCGCTGTGACTGCTGCTCATTCCAGCCCTACCGCCTTGCTGCAGAGACATCCGGCGCTTCAACTCGGTGTAGGCAATGACGCCGCCCAAGGCGATCAGGATGCCGACGACGGCGCGGGCGTTGGACTTGTACTTGAACACCACGAAGCCAAGCACCAAAATGAGGATGGTCTTGAGGTGCCCCAGCACCTGGTAGGTGAGGGGAGACGTCTTGCCTAGCACTAGGTAGTTGGAGATGTTGACGCCCAGGGCGAGGACGCAGGAGGAGAGGACGTGGTTGAGGAGGGAGAGGGAGAACGAGGTCTGGACCAGGTAGCGGACGTTGTCGAAGAAAGGGATCATGAGGAAGGAGCCGGCCGCGATGAGGGGCGACGAGTGGTAGAGGAGCTGGAGGGCGTCGCAGTCCAGCTGCTTCTGGTAGGTGGATGTGAAGATTTGGGCCAGGGAGGTGAAGAGGACGGCCAGGGCGGCGAAGGCGGTACCCACTAGGTTGACGCTCACGTCGTTCACGGTCGCGATGCCCACCCCGATCGTGATGGGAATCAGCGTGACAAGGACGGGGCCTGGGACTGTTTTGCCATAGAAGGCACGCTCAAGGGCGATCGTCACAGGGATGCAAGCTAGCTTAGAGAGCTGGTAGAAGCCAACGGAATTATGCGCCAGATTCAAATTCATGAAGGCGACAGAGCCCAAGGAGCCCAGGGCTACGGGGAGGACGCCGCGGATAGGGGCCGGTTTGTAGTTGAAGAATCCGAGGTGGAGGAGGACGGAGCACCCCAGGTAGGTGAAGACGAAGTGGGTGAAGGAGAGGAAGATCATGAAATTGAAGGCGTCGACGGCGACGATGTACTTGTTCATGATCACCACACCCACGACAGAGCCCACGTTGCCGAACATGGCGAATATTGTCGTCATATCCAACATCTGAGTGATGGTAGGTAAAGTGGCGAGGGAGAGTAGTCTGGTGAGTGTAATCATGAGGCTAGGTGGCGGGCTGCAAGAGAGATCGAGTGAATCTGCACGCCGATGCTGAAGTATATCATCCCAGCCAGCGGCCCCGCGCATGACACTTCATAATTTTATATGAAGCTATAGTTAGAGCATCTTTGCTGGCTCTATTTCAGCCATTGCGTGAGCTTTAAAAGCCATAGCGGAAACGGACTCTACCCGCCTCCCACGGGTGGTACAGGCCTCTCGTGGATTCAAAGACAATCTCGTCCCCTCCACACGATACGTTCTACCCAACGCAACAAGTATCTGACTTACCTTTTCGATTATTGTTTAATTTGAAATCACAACTTTTAGTGCTCGATGCGGGGTGCACGAACTTTTCACACGATAGTATGACAACGCTGCAGCCCCGTACGCTACAACAGGCGATGAAACGAGGTAGTGTCAACCACTTGCGCCAGCCCCTACCTGTATTTATGTATGCGATTGTGTCCGTCAATAACTGTTCGCTAAAACGTCGTTGAAAAAGCTAGGCGCATGCATCCAAAAATGCCCTAGGTTTTTCAAATGCGCCAATCAGAAGAAGGAGCCTCGTCGGCGTAGAAGTTCCCGCAGGCGCGCCTGCGCTTTGCCTTTATCACGCCTGATCATGCTTTCTTTCCGTGAAAACATGCGCACATGTGACTTCCATCATTATGGATCCTCTTGACCTTTTCCCGTCAGGCGCATTGTGTCGTATTCGCTCCTTTCCGATTTTCCTCCGGATTGGCCCACGCCCCGGCTCGGCGGTTTCCCCGCCCTGAACCAAGCCCGCTCCCAACACCCATACACTTTGTTGCCCTTTGGCGTGTCCCATCCGTGCTTTTGTCCCAAATACGACCCGAGTCATGCTCAAAGATGATTTTGAAACCCCGCGGACATGTTAGGTTGGGTGGTTTCGCACCTTTAGTCGAAATCAGGGAGCTTTGAGTGATTCTCATTTACGTAAAATTTCTGGGCAGAGGCCGATTTTTGTCTGGTTCTCTTCTCCCTCTGATAGCTACCCTTTACATTCGATGTAACCAAATAAAAAAATATCAATAGACATTTTATTTCTAATCAATACAAAAAAATGTAGTCTGTCGTTGTTTGCAGCGAGGAAAAAGTACCAAACGCGTTTGCACTCCAGGAAGGTACTGTCTTTCACCCCATGCTGCACAACAAAATGACCCGAAAATTACGGTTGGGACTCGTTGTGCAATCTTCAAAAAGCATAGCAGGGGTGATCACTCAGCTACGTATCCTATTTGTACAGCATTATGGCAATTATGCGCGAAAATTTACGCTGAAAAGCTACAAACGACGAAAAATTCAGGAATGAGTAAATGGGTATGTAAAAGGCTTTCAAAGCCTGCGAGGGAAGATATACTGCATGAAGCACGTCATGGCACCGTTTCCAACAAATGCGCACAAACATAGAAGAATAAAATTTTCAAAAGTAAGAGCACTGCCAGCTGCTAGTGATCGACTACACATCTCGACTTTTCCATCTTAGCCTTTGATCGCAAAATGACTTCCAACCCCCATTTTCTCCTTACAAACTATCCTTGCATTCATCAAACGGCCCGACGAACCTCGAAAAATTTGGAAATGATAGATATTTGCCAAACAGCCATTCCAACCAGGACAACTGCTTCCACTACCGTCCAAATCAGTACTCGGGAGCCAATGCTTTCCATCGTCGAGGCATGCAGATCCTCACGCTGTCGCATGTAGCTTTGATGATCCATCACATTGGTCAAACCTTTCGTGAGAGAATTTCCGAGTTCTATCAGGCGCCGGATGCTCTGCTCGCTTGCTATCGCCTCGTCTACTAGCACGTCCGTCCGAAACGAGAAGCCCACCAATCGAGGTATCCCATCGTCAGCCCGCCCTCTTGCACCATTACTTATACACAAGGTATGATCCCCGTTCTCCTCGGCCTCGAAAGAAAATGTTTCCTCAGACTTGTCTGCTGCTCGCCACAAAAGCTTCCCATCAGGGCCTTCGACGGTCACTTCCACAGGGGCATAGCTGCCCCCCGTCAGTACCTCGAAATTACCTAAGAAATCATCGCCTTGAGTAGCCACTGTAATGTAGCATTCTACTGTGCCTGGGGCAACTTCGACGGTGAACGAAGTGGCAGGCTTGAGGAGAAGGATAAGGAGTAGGAGAGAGAGCACGACGAGTAGGCTTCGCGACGGTATTCTTGCAGACCGCCAGAACAAAAATCTCCACATGGGCCCTCACGCTGTTGTAAAGACGATGCGGAAGAGGATCAATAACTTACATGCACTCATGGGTTCGGTGCATAAATTAAAAGCTTGACCAACAGTTCGCTTTCCACGAAAAAGGGGCGAGGGCGGCAAAGTGCCTCCTCGTGCGAGCGATCGGGCTTGGCCTTTGCCGTATAGAAGCAAGCACAAGGACTCCCTCGCACGAACCCGTGTATCGATTCGGACAATATTGTCATAGCATTCTAGGACTCGTGATGGGTAAGACGTGTCATTTTGAAAGTTGCTGCATCTCTTTCACGTGCCTGTAGCAAGAATCAAGCCAACCTCCCCCTGTGCCCCCATAGACGACTTTGCCAGAGTAACCCAATTTCTTTAGTTTTTGTCTTACCCACGCCAGCTTAGAATGTACTTGTAAAAGTTGAGAAAACAATAATCCATGAGACACTTTCCCCCCCCTTCGGAGCCTCACACCCGTGCAGGCCAGGCGTCACTCATACTCGAATTGCGTCCTGATGTTGTTTACAATACCTACATTCCCTTCTACACCAAGACACTTTCGACCCCATTGAAATTATGCACCATCAATCGTGGATGAGACAATTTGTGCGAATGCATTTTTTTCGTACTGTACGCTGAATGGCGCTGCTTTGTATGCCTTGCTTCCTCACTGAGCTGCTTGAGTAAAGCTTCCTCGTCTGCGCGGATGGTGAGAGCCAACAAGCCCAGGAAAACGGCGCACATCATCCACCCTCCCAGGGAGATATTAAATGCTACTAGGCGGCCCCATGAGGGGATCAACAAAGAAACCATGGCCGGCCCTAACCCTTTTCCCAGGTCATCCGCTACCATAAATACCGAAAAAACAGTGCCGCGATTCCGACTTGAGTTCACTTGCATCACAAAGGCGCGAATCAGCGGTCCTGTGAACGCGGCGATTCCTCCACTAAATGCAACGACAGCCGCCACGAAAGTGAAGCCTCCATTGGGCGTGCTGATCGTGTCCTCCTTTGCGTTGATAAGCCAAGCCATGGGGATGATGCCCAGAGCCGTGCTCGCTGCCATCAAGAGCGCGGCCCCTTCCTTCGACCTATTGTACGCCCACTGGCCTAGAACCCCTCCCGCCAGGTTCCCCAGGAAGCAGCCGAGGCCGAAGATGAACATGAGGGCGGTGGCCTTCTCCACCGTCATGCCGCGCTGCTCGTGGAGGAAGTCAGTGAGGAAGGCGCTAGTGACGCCCCAGGGCAGGCACCCCGGCATCGACTGGCAGAAAGCAAGTAGATTGGTTCTAATCACGAGAACGTCCATAAACTTTCGCAGCTGCTGGCTGCATCCCGCATTCAGTCTGGCCAAACTAGGTCCTCGCTCTTCCTCACGATTTTCCTCCTCCCCCCTCTCCTCTCCCCATTCCTCGTCCGCCGCCTCTCCTGCCTCCTCTGGGCGAATCAGGAGGGCTTCGCTTGCGCCTCGGGGTCCCCTCCCCTCCACCGAACCGATATGATGAGAGCGGGGGGGCTCCTCCATGGTCAGCATGACTAGCGCGATCACGAGCAGGGAGGGCAGTGCAATTATGACGAAGGGCATGCGCCAGCCATAGACCGGGCCCACGAAGCCCGCCACGCCCTGGCCTAAGGTGCCGCCAACGCCCATGCTGATCGTGATGAGGGAGGAGGCTAGGGCGCGCTGATCCGGGGTGGTGATGTCGGCGGCCAGGGAGTAGATGAGCGGAAAGGCCCCGCCCACGGCCACGCCCGTCAGGGTCCGGAGGAGGAAGAACTGGTTAAAGCTGACCACCCAGTAGGTGAGGAGGCAGGGGATGATGCCCACTAAGCACGTGCAGACGTACAGGGTTTTTCGGTTCATGACGTCCGCCATCGGACCCACCACGATCGAGACCGCCCCTCCCACCACAAAAAAAGCGAAGGGAATCTGCCCTCCGAGTTTCAGATCGCGCTCAGCGTCGTCAAAGCCCATGTCCCTGGCCACGGCCGTCAGATTCGGGGCCAGCAGGTTTTGGTCCGCGAAGAGGAAGAGGATGGAGGCCGCGAAGAGAAGGAGCGTGAGTTTGCTGGGAGCGGCCGCAGTCTCGGAAGACGTTGTCGCGAAGGAGGACGAGAATGAGGAGGGCCTTGACGACGGGCTCCGACGCCGCACGACTTGTGTTTGCAAGGCCGAAGGTTCGGTGCCCTCCGCCAGGAGACTTCGTTCCTCATGATCGACGGTATAAGAGGGGCTCGCGTCGCTGGTCCTGGGCTCTGGTTGAAAGGACAGGGACGGGTCCACCCCACCCCCTGATACTGAAAGGCCCAACCTGCGGTCTGAGGCAGGCCCTTTTCTTCTTGGGGTCAGGTAGGCCATCTCCATGGCCATGCTCTTGTAGTCCGCGGGGGTGAAGGGACTTGGAAGTGGAAATTCAGTCTCGTCAGTCAGGGCCTCGGACGACGGGAACTGGTGGAGATGATGCTTTGGGAGCGAGGAAGGTGTGCCGGCGGGAGTCTCCTCACCATGAGATGAGAAGGGTCCTGAGAGGGTATTGTACGTCTTTACCATTCATACCGTCGTATATGGCCTGTGGATAAGCATCATCATGACATAAAAGTGGTGAATGTGGCGAAAATGTGGGTGTATTGTGCGGGAGAAAGTCGCACGACTTCCACACTTTTTAGCCCGGTGTTGGATATGTTGGAACGACACATGTTCTTTGCAGTGTACTTCAAAAAGGGACGATCAGAGAAGGGAATCGTGATGCTAAATACACACAGGAAAAGGATTTGTATCTCCAAGCTACGCACTGCCAATGAAGTTTGCTTTGGACAATTACACTGTCGCACCCGGCTGCTGGTGAGGAAGCAGCCGCGCTCAACGTCTTTTTGAATGGGCCGTTGGGCATACTCATGACGGGAGGCGAGCTCGAATATCGCACCGAGACCCACACGTGTTGGCTACGATACAATTGTATAAATGAACAGCACAAGCTTTGCTGAATTTGCACAACTTTTTAATCTTCTTTAGATTTTTGCCAATCATGTAAGCTTCGAAACCTCTTTACCCAAAACCCTTCACCCGTTACTCAACACAGCATGATATAGCTCATACACCTCATCATTCCAGAGTACGAAGACACCCCAAATAACGACAATGCAGATCTGGACACGCAGAAAATATGAGCTGTAGATCATCCAGGCGGCCATCCCATCTGTGCAAGTGTGAGGCGGGAGTACACATATTCTGTAAGCGCGTAACGTAAACATATTCATTACTCTCTATTAATTCAGGAGGAAAATGAAAAGTACCCACCTGTCGCCCACCAATAACGTGGATATGCAAATGATAAACAGACTGACTCCCGTCGGGACCGTCATTGATGACCACTCGGAAACCACCTGGGACTAAACCTTCCTGTTTCGCAACCTGCTGCGCAACGTACAACAAATGGCCTAGCAAGGCCTTGTGGCTCTCTTCCGCTTTGCTTAGGCGAGACAAACCGGCCCTGTCCTTGGGGATAACCAAGAAATGAACGGGCCCTTGCGGACTCAAGTCATGAAAGGCTACGCAGTCGTCGTCTTCGTAGATGAAGTTTGAGGGGATTTCTTTCTTTACGATCTTGTCGAAGACTGTCGGCTGTAAAAACGAAATCGAAAAGGCAGAAGCCGGGTAGTCAGTGAAATAGAATAACGACTTCCGGAGATGTTGCCATACGTTGTCATGTTGGAGAAACAATATAAAATGTGCTGCACGCATACGTTCGTCACGACACGATCGTGATGGTTCTCCGTCCAAGAGATAAGTTTTTAAAATTTCTGAGCACTTGACGTCAACCGCATCGTACGACGAAAGCACAAATGCCCCATGCGACTTTTAAAAACCATGACCTTGTTCTTACGAGCTCTCTACCACCTACCTCGCCCGCATCCGCTGCCTCCTCCATCTTTTTGGCTGCCGCTTTCCTGGACTCGGCTACCTCATCAGCCATGGTATTTGCCTGGTTACCGGTGACAAGACACCGTCTAGTCGTGCGAGATAATCTGACTGCGATGGAAGTTGCGTGCAAGGACGTACGATGTACCAGCAAGTGTTGAGAGAGGCGGACAAGACGTTGGCTCATAGAGCAGGCAAGGCCGTGAGCTCACTGCACGCCACACGGAACGCAAATGATGCAGACCACGTGGACAATATCTCTGTGCGTGTGTACGTGGGTGTCAAGTCTTATGTTTTGCTGGTGAATTCCCCATAATTACTTCTCCATCGCCTGCTGAGAGCTGCTTTCACTGAGGTACCAGGTAATAATCAGTAGTGCTACAAGTGCTGACGCCGCGCCGCGACGTAGTTTATGCCAAAGTATTGCATAAGAGAGCTTGGACGATACATATGGACGGCCAGTCACGTTCATAACATGATCAGAGTTCAAGACTTATGAGCTGACTCTGCTTGTTATCTTATGGCTTATCTCGACCTCCCCTCGGATAACCTCCCTCCTCACACGTTCCCACCAACAATGTCACGTTATCTCTGTACAGGGACATCGGCGTTGTTTCCATGATATCTCATCGAGCATGGAAAAAATTGAGCGCTGGCTTGCCGTTGCTCGTCTTTTTGACAGGTGGTTCTCTCTTCTTGGCCAAGGTGAATAATATGATTGAGTCCCCCTGTCCCCAGGGCCTAGCAGAGCAAGTGTGTGCACTTTTCCCTTGGATCGAACGTCTTACCACATTTCAAGACCCATCTTATGTTTAGTTGAGAGTATATGTACATTTTCCCTGTCTAGAGTGCCCTTCTTCCCGCGAATCACGTAGCAGCGTGTCACAACCCCTTTTTCATTTCCAGCCTTTTGAGTTCAACAGCGACTTCCAAGTCCATAATTTGTTAACAGATCTCGAATTCCCATTTTTAAATGAGTAGTTTGTACAGGGTCGGGTGGAGGCCAAAGATAGCAAGCTGCAAAGTCGTAGTGAAAGGGAGTTCAGTATTGAGGAGGAACACAAACGAATGATGGCCAAACTAGATCCAGAGAACGCCTACAAGGT